GGGGGGGGATACTTCCCACCAGTGTGAGAGACGGAGACAGAGAAGGAGCTCAGCTCAGTTCTCCAGGCTCCCCATTGGCTGGCGGTTTGTACAAAATCTAACTCAAACCACTTCAGTCTGAATAAATCCTAAAGGCGCACACACAGCCTCCTCCGCAGCTCCACCGCCGCCATCAGCGTCCTTTCAGAGCCCGATGCTGCGCTCATCGCTCAACTTTTATCTGTGCTGCTGTTCATCGGCGGAAGGAAGCTGTTCCTACTTGCTTTTTGGAGGTTTTGTCACTCGGACTCTTTGACTTCTGCACAGCTTTTGCTTTTCCCCCCGAAAGAGAGGAATCAAGAAAACAAGTCATTTCTACACCTAAATGCCGGTGTAAGTTATTATTATTATTTTAATTATTATCATTATTAATATTATTATTACAATGATCAGATTATCTACAGGGAACATCAACGAAAAGTATTGAAAATAAATCCTGAACTCAAGAAGGCCAGTGGAATGATTATGGTGCTTCAAAGTTTTAACCTTTTTTTTATCTTAATTTCTATTACCGGGGAATATTTGGTATTTTAGATAAGGTGCATTAAACAGATCCAAGAAGGGTCGATAAAAGGAAATTACACTATTTAAAAAAGGTGTTTAAATATTGTCGAACTTAGACCCCTCTGGAGGGTCTAAGTTTTTTATTTCTGAATGAGATTTTAGTTTTGTTTCTTTATTTTGGTCTTTTTTAATCTTACGATTTTTTTTATTGCATAGGCTACTTGCACTTTTTGGTATTTATTATTTTTTTTATTATTATTATAATTTTTGGAAATATATATAAAAAAATAAGTTATAGTTTGGGCAAAAAAAAATAAAACTAAAACTAAAATGCAAAAAATACATATCGCACTGATCCAAACTAAAATAAATTATTTATAATAGAATTAAATATATTAAAAAAAGAAAACTATTAATTTTAGGGCTGTGAAGGGGTAAATGTTCCGGGGCCTCTTGCGCCTCCTATGACTGCCGAAATGAATAATTCATCAGACAATAAACCAACATGTCACAATTAATATGTTCCCTGCTTCTAGGAGTTATGCATCTCCCAAAATCATATGAATTATTTTCTATTTAGAGTTAGATACACGAAAAACATCCGCAGATACATTCATCCTCTATATTTGCCTTTAATTCCGAGGTTTATTTTAAAAGCTTTCAGTCTTTCGAGCCATTTGCCACTTGAATTATCCCCGTAATTCATCATCAGTCCATTTATCATAATTAATCGTTGGACGAGGGGCTAATTATTATTATTGAGCGGGAGAGCAACTGGTTGACGGGCTGGTGTGTGTTTAAGTGTGACAGATTGGGATGAGGGGGTTAAAACCGTTGGATGGAGAGGGAGAAGATGCAACTAATCAAGAGGCACAGTGGGGATCGTGGGGAGCGGAGGGTCACTGGAGCTGAAGTGACAACGATCGCGTTTACCAAACAGCATCACGGTGCGGATTCAAGAGCTTCACATCTTCACTGAGGAGGAATATGTCCCACCGCCAACTAGCCATTTAGATTTTATTTATCTAAATATAATAGAAAGCTTCATTTATTTCATTTTCCTTCAAAATGTGGAGTTGTACCTATTTATTTAACGTGAAATAATATATTTCATAGGTTTATACGTAATTACGCACATAAAAGTAAGACATCCTTATGGATTATCTAAGTCATACTCATAGTTATATATATCTATATATCTATATCTATATATCTATATATATATATATATATATATATATATATATATATATATATATATAAATCTCAGATAATTTAGATTGTTTTCCTCTTTACTGTCTAAAAAAGTATTGATGGCATTAATTGCTGTAGTTCTTTGTTTGCTTTCATGAGGGGGGGCATATAGTGGTAAGGGCAACTGAACTGAAGATGCACTGGCAGCTTTATGAGAAGCAAGATGAGTCTTTGGGGAGGGCGCATACTCCTATAACAGTGTGTAAGATGTAAGGTTAAAAAAATATCTAACAGTTCCTGTTGTTTTTTTCAAACAGGTGCCCGTTGTAACACGGAGCCCACGGAGATCAGAGAGGACACGAGGGGCGCCTTTGGAACGACACCCGTTTTCAAAATTTTCTCCAACTTCAGCCCTCAGACAAACATTAGCATGATGTCGTATCTAAAGCAACCACCTTACACGGTAAATGGCCTGAGCTTAACGACTTCCGGGATGGACCTTTTGCATCCATCGGTGGGTTATCCAGGTGGGTTTTGCTTTTTCTAAATAAATGCAATGGATAAAGCGGAGTTCGTTTGAGATTTTCTGTCCTATTGTTAATTTGGCTCAAAGCAGTTTTTGCATTTTGACATAAACAATAAAAATTGTCATA